AGCATGGTGTCTCTTGCTTGTTTGCAATATGTGATCATCTATACTACACCCACATCTACGCCAACTACAAAATTAATGACTTTATTCACATGTATGCATCCTTCCTTTCAGCAATTGCTCACTACACTTGCTAGGAAAAAAAAAAAAAGGTCCGATCACATTCTTGCACATCTTCTCAAATCCTTGTAATCAAACTTCAAGACTCATCTGAACTCCCAAGCTTTCCTTTCTTTTGAGTTATAACACATGGCATAACCATCAAGTGATTGATTGAGCATGCCCCTCCAAATTTCTAATCAGCTTTTGCTTAACCCCCTAAACTATAATCCATAAATCAAATTTATCTAGTCAATATTTCATTCAAATTTGAGTTAATTAAATAAGATGCAAAAGGAATTCTAAGCTTCTAGAGATGTCTTTCAAAGTTTTGTTGATGTTCTTGAGGATTAACAATAAAATCATTATATTATTATTTATTTTGATGTTCCTACCCCCTAGTCTATTCGTGCATGAGTTGGATTTCTCATTGGTCTGAATATTGACAAGTTATTAGTATGATGGACATTATTATTTTACTTTATCAAGTGAATTGTTCAAAACATTCTTTACTTTAGGTCTTACTATCTATTATGATTGAGATGCTATGTATCCTCTTTAACATTGGGTGTTGGCACCTTATTTTTTGCCTTTATCAAGGACTTTTTAAAGGGTTTTCATAAAACTTTTGCTAATCTCAATTGTCATTTACTTTCCCTTTTTTTTCGTTTACATTCCTATAACCTTTTTGTTAGAATTACATGAGGTTTGGGCCCTCTTTTGAAAGTACATAGGCAATGCTTCATTTATTTGATAAAGAACCCAACCTTTTTTGTAATTTTCATTTATATCTATGAAATTCTTGCTTTTAAAAAGTTATTAATACGATAGACGACCTCTAATAGCATTTTAACTCTTCAAGGTGGATTTTTCTTAATCATGGGGGAATTGATACATGATAAATCAAGCTTAGTATAATTTTAGCATTTATTTATTTATAATTATCCTTCTAGGTAATTATGTGGGTAAGTTTAGATTTCAATTTAAATAAGGATAGGTTTGAATTTTATTTTAGCATTTATTTATACTATTATGCTCTATTGTTATAAATAAGTCAATTTCTTTGGCATAATTCATTAATGAATAGAATTAAAATTATGCTTTAGTTCATAACTTCTTCCCCTCTTCAAATTTCATGTTTTGCTCTTTATGTACTGTTTATCACTTCTTATCTCCTTCTATCTCTCCTCAAATCAGTTTCTCATTCATATTGCATTACACATCTTCATTACTTCACTCAGAACACCGTGATCAAGCTTTAAAATTGCACAATTGGGCATTGAAGCGTTTTTCATTGGTGAGGCAAGGCGTAAGCCTCAAAATCCAAAATTTGTGCAAAGTGAAAATAAAGGTTAAAAGTAATTTTCTATATAATACCCAAATAATATGCTGAAGGATGACATATTAACTTTCTTTTGAACTATAAAGTAATAAACTTGCATATATATGAAACCAATGAGGTTGATTTAATGATGCATGTTAGATCAGTAGGATTAATGCTTCATTGCTTAAACAAACGTACATTTGAAACATTGCAACCCCAAAATTGGAGAGTTAACTACATGAAATCTAATATTTATTGAAAACTTTTATGATTGCTAGGTTGACATATAAATGGCTCTTGAATTCCTTGCATCTAATGTTTATATCATTTCAAAAACAGTAATGTTGTTTTATATAAAGCACATGTAGCTTTTCTTGATTATAAACCTACTTAGACAGCTTGACTAGCTGAGATAATTAAGTGATTCTAATACTCTACTTATATTTCCTTTAAAAAATTTTATTTCTGTGAGATAACAGTACAAATATAAAAAGTGAAATGCATCTATTAGTGCTTCATGTGGTAAAAAGTAACCCAAACAAACATTTAAATGCATCAATTAGCGCTTCATGATGGAAAAAAAATCCTGCAAAAAAAAAACGGTGAAATGAACTTGAATATTTATTTCAATTCCACTATCCGCCAGAAAACAACAATGCCTATATAGTTGAAGAAAACCATGTCAAGCTAACTACAATGAAGTATCCACTATCCCATTATAATGATATAGATCAACTTTAAGCACATATGCTACTACTTCACAAAAACCATCTGTCAATGTCTTATCTAACCTTACACTCAAACCTTTTCAATAAGGATTACTAGAGACAGCCATCTGACTGATATTCTCTGTTTAAAATGTAAGTTTTGAATTCAAGCTAAGAATGAACTGAAATTTTCACTTTCATTTCCTTAGAAAGAATAGTTATATTTTAAAAACATATTAAAGATTTTCATGTAGTCTAAAAGAAAAGAAGCCATTATGATAAGATGAAATTTTAGCATACCAACTTGAAAAAAAAGCAAATATACAAGATGCCTGATCATATTTTTGATATATTCATAAAGTAAGCCAATCAGAAAGGATGTCAAGTAAAATTAAAACTACAAATATCCAGAAAAAGCTTGCATGTGTGGTGCTGTCAAACTTGCAAGACATGTATATCAACTCCTAAGAAATTGGCCATGAGAACAAGTATGTGAAATTAAAAAAAAAAAGAATTGTTAGAGCTTTCATCAAGCTTATGCTTACTCAGCTCATTGGCTGGGCAAATTCGTACAGAAGCAGTACAAAAATGAGAAATAACAAGAAGAATAGGAAACCACACATGTACAGCTTCATTACGAACAAGAAGATTAGGAAATCACACATATGCTGAAAAAAAATTGAAAATGCAAGTACAAAAGAATATCATATACAGCTTCATTTTCACAGCAATCAACAAGAAATAAAGATTGCTCGTTGTTCATAAAATTATGAAACCTTCAGCAAATAAATAAATTATTCAATAGTGATGCGGGACTGCTGACAACAGGATTCCATTGTGTTGGGCAAAATAACTTGATCAGTTTAAATATTTAAATGGAGTAATGTTATAGCCATCCCATTGCAAATCAGACATTCACTCAATATGCTTTCTAAAAATTCACATACAAAAGAAGACAGTTTAATACTTTAATAGCATTGAATAATGAGACCAATTCTGTTAAAACAAAACAAAAATTATTTTTACACCACATTAAGACTTCATTTGAGACAGCTTTCTTACTGCTTCATGAAGTAGCTTTCTAATATAAAAATTTATAAATCAAAAAATTTTTGCACTAAAAAACTACTTCATGATGCACTAAGAAAGCAATCCCCAATGAAGGATAAGAGGGATAAATGGGTAATACACCAAAAAATCAAGGATTAGAGGGAATACTAACCGCTAAGATTTTGAAAGAAAATGACAAAGGAAACTTGGTCAAAAAATGCATTTCAAGTAAAATAAAAAATGGCATCTGCTAGTAAATGTGCAAAATTCCCCAATGAAGGATTAGAGGGATAAATGGGTAATACACCAAAAAATCAAGGATTAGAGGGAATACTAGCCGCTAAGATTTTGAAACAAAATGACAAAGGAAACTTGGTCAAAGAATGCATTTCAAGTAAAATAAAAAATGGCATCTGCTAGTAAATGTGCAAAAGAATACGAGCGAAAGAAATTTGCGGAATTAAGCTGTAAAACCAACTAAAAGCTCTCAATGACAATTCCATGAGAGATTAACAAAAATGAGAACCCTAGTCAAAGTCGGGGAAATTAACCAAGGCAGAAAGAAGTACTATACATTGTCTATATATAGAGCTCTCATGTACAGATACTTCATTAGATAATAATACAGATTTATTCTTTCTTCTTCTACCTTGGAATTCTCTATCTGTTTCTCTTCTCCGCCAGCCGGTCTTCAAGTACGACACTAACTGTAAATTTGAGTAAATACAGTGGGTATCACGCATCTTGCGTTGGTTGCAACAAGAGGTAAAGAGATAAAAAGAAGAGTCAGTGATTAGACGTCCACTAATTCTCTTTCCATCACTTTCTCTCTCCTTTTTACTTGAAAGAGTAAAACCTAATTTGTATCTCATTTGTCAGCTCTCCTTTTAGCTGTTGTTGGTTGGGAGCTTAACTATTAATTATGAAATATTAAGTTCAAGCCTGGCATAAATATATAATATATGATATATGTATTAGTTTGCCTTAACCTAAATGTCCGAAAAAAAAAATCAGAATCTCAATTCCTGCATTAGAACTTTTGTGGTAATGAAACCAGAGGCCTTTCTTCAGAAATTATCAAATAGAAATATTTTACGTAAAATCTGAAAAACAATGTATAATAGAACAGATCGTTGCCATCCAAAATCTTTTCCCTCGCTAAATGGTCAAGAAACGACTAATGATGATGATGAGATCCAAAATCTTTGCAAAGAAAACAATTGCAGAAAGGCAAATGTAGTAGAAATGTAATCACAATCGATAAGATTTGACATAACCACACATAATTTCTTAATGACTTCACATGAAGCAAAACAACAAGAAGGCAAACAACATGAAAACATGATAAAAGTCAGTCGGATCAAGCAAATCAAGTAAAAATGAAAGGGGAAAAGAGAAGCCCAAGAGGAAGAAATTAAGAACAAGAACAAACTTGAACTAAAATATCAGAACAAGATAGGAACCAAACCAGAGACTGCTTAAAAATATTGTCCTCAATCTCGGAATCCTATCATTATCACAGGTAAACAATACAAGAAACTCAGTAAAACCCTTGCGTTTGGTAGGATCCTGCCAGAATAGAGTAACCAAAATCTAGAGCTCCACCCAAAATGAAAGGTCCACACTGAAGCATTATAGATCTAACTAATTTTAAAAAATAAAATAAAAAAACGGACCTTCTAAAAGCTTTCCAAATGTATTTGTAATTACAGAGCATCTGATCCCAGATCCAGTCATCCACAAAAAAATGAAAAACAGTACGAGAAGCAAAAATGAAAGAAAGTTCCAACCGAAGTGAGAGAGAGAGAAAGAGAACAGCATACCCTCTCCGGTGGGGGAAATCTCGCTTCCACAGAGCCAACAGCTACAGCTGCTGCGCTAATGGACGCCCCACCTCCCGTGTTACTTCCTCCTCTGCCATTTCCAGCCATATTTCACATTCCCTAACCTCAACAATGAGTAACAGCCACAAAACCACACAGCAACCCCCAGAATCCAGCAGATCCCACGAGTTGCAAGATGGAAAATCAAAACTAAAGTCAGATCACAAAGCCCGCAGAACTTCCTCCCTGTCGACGAGGATTTCGCTTCCCTCAACCCTCAATTCTCCCAGAGAAGCGATCTCGAGAACCGGCATTGACTCGAGCCCGAGCTCCAAGGCCCCTCTCGAGCTCAGCAAACGCAGGGAATCCTTAGAGACGTGCAGAGGAAGGATTGCGAAGAGAAATTGTACGTATAAGGGAATAAAAGAGTCTCCTTTCACACCCAATCCGGGATCCTCGCTCCTCTGTTCCCTACCACCTCTCCTCCACTCCACGCTTCGCACTCGTTAAGCTCGGACCTGTTGCAGACACTTTCTTCGTTTCGTCGTTCACTTCTCTCTCTCTCGCTCTTTCTCTCTCGCCAAAACACATATCTACGCGCGACCTGCTCTCAATCTCTCGCCTTTCTTTCTCCATCCAAAGTTTACTATTAACATAAAAAATACAATTAATGAACGTGATGTGATGCTATTTGCTTTCCGGTGGGAAAGGATGTGGGTTAAGGTACGGAGATTCACGAGCCTAGTTGGCTCGGGCGCGCAACCTCGGCCTCTTAATTAATTTGTCTCTATGCGCTCATTTTCTCTCTCCTTTCACTCCAATCCATGGTTATGTCTCGACCATCAGGTTCCATTCTTTTTCTCTGGCTCGATTTCTTGCCCCTAAAGCATCGTCGTCGTCTTCATCAAAGCAACATAACATAGAGTAAGATTACACTGTTATGTGCGAATGATACGTGGGCTATTATAGAAAGAAGGGGGGCTGCAGCCAAGCAGTTAAGGCTTTTGGGCTTTGGCACGGGAATATAGCCATCTCCATGCCCAAAGTCACGAACTTTGAATGATGCAGCAGCGCCGAACAGCAGCAGTCTCTCCACAGTGCAGTGACGCAGGGAGGGATCACGTGGACCGTGCGGCGCTTTATTAAGTCGGTCGTCCCGGTCCCCACACACTCTTTCCCCACTTCTCTCTCCCTCTCTTCTGCTCTTCCTCGCCTCTGCTCTCCACCCACTTCTCAGCCCTGCACGTTCGCCTAACCGCCTTCTCATCTCAGCCTCCGTGGGCACTGCTGGCTTTTACAAGCTTTTCATTAACGACCGAATGATAGCATGCATAGCTTGTCTTGATCGTATAACATTTATAGTTATTTGTATATTTTATTTTTTTCATAATAATAAATATATTGAGAGAGTTGGACTGCGATATACGTGAAGGACATGATTTTTTTTTTCATATATTTTTAATTAGTTAACCTCTTCATATTAAAATCTTCAAGGCCAGTCACAAAGGGGAAACGACGGGCCCCGAGGCATGGCCTCTGCTGACCTATCACAAGGCAATTAAAAATTATATAATAATTTATTTTAAAAGATAAAACATACAAAGCAGCCCTTTACCTGAATTTTTATTGGGTGTGAAGTGCGAATGTAGGTCTATGTATGCAAACCTGTAATAAAATGCCACGTGGAGCCCATCTTGATCCCACCGTTTTAATAACCACGTGTTTTTTTTAACAGCGCAACCTGACGACCCGAACCGCCCAAAAAATTGAAAAAAAATACGGTAAAACTTAGGGTTTTATTTGATGGCGCGAGTTATTTATCTCAATAAAAAAAGATTTTCTCGTCACTTGAAAGCTGATAAAGAAATAGAAGATAGGAAGCTATGAAAATGGATACCGGTTTGGAGGACTTCGAAGATTGCTCGGAGATGGAAGGTATTACGCAAGAGGCCCAGCAAAGTAAAAAATATGTTTTTCTGTGACCTATCAAAGATAAGTTGGAGATATTATCGGTAAATATGATATGGAAGTCATTTTTTCAGTGTTTAGTTTTAATAATATTTCCTTTAAAATGTATGTTTTGTTGGCCAAAGTTGGTTGTACACGGCTCCTAGGTACCGGACGGTACTGCTCGGTACTGCTAGGTACTGGTTGGTACCGAAGTTGTTGCCAATTTGTTTGTCTATTTTCAATGCTAAAATCAAAGTGTTTAAATAGCTTTTCTTGTTCTTAGGTTGTCTGTAACAGTGAAAAGAAGCATATGACATGTACTGACATTACGCTCATAAAATTAGTTTTAGTGTTCCCAAAGACCATCACTATTACTGGCTTAACTCGAGAAAGATAAGATGCAAGGATTTTGTTTGTTCAAAAGATGGATTTAAGAAGGGCATTGACTTAATTGAACTGCAAATCAAAATATAGAAAATTCAATACTAGGAATGGGTTTCCTATGTTGATTAGATTTTTAATTGAACTCGATGGAGTATGGAAGGTCCAAAAGTGCATAGAGAGCCACAACCATGAATTAGCTAGGCTTGAAGATCAACATTTGCTTAAATCTTATAGGAATATTAATGATGAGAATGCATTTGTTCTTAAATCAATGACGGAAGCTGGGATAAGAATAATTGATGCATTTACATACCTAGCTGATGAAGTTGGAGGAAGAGATAATGTAGGATTCTCTAAAAGGGATGCATATAACTATGTTCAGAAAGAAAAAAATGCAAAGATTGAGAATAGGGACACCATTTCTCTAATTGAACTTTTCAAAGATCGAGCAAATGATGATAACATGTTTGCATGAGACGTCCAATATGATGAAGAGGATAGATTGATGAATTTTTTCTGGGTTGATGGGGTGGGGAGAATAAATTATGACTGTTTTGGAGATGTGGTCATTTTTTATACTAGCTATAAACTTAACAAATACAGTCTAGCATGTGCACCTTTTATTGGAGTTAATAATCATTGGCAGAATATTTTTTTAGGGGTGACATTTCTATCGGAGGAGACAATAGAATCATTTATATGATTGTTTAGAATATTTTTGTGAATTATGGGTGAAAAACATCCCATTACAATATTTATTGATCAAGACCAGACAATGGAACAGGCTATAAAAATTGCACTTCCTCAAACACGACATAGGCTTTGCTAATGACACATTACCAAGAAGGTTCCATCCAAGATGTGTTGTTACAACAGCAATAACAAAGTTAGATGCCTCTTTTATAAATATTTAATCAAATGTGATTCAAAGTAGGAGTTTGAGAGTTGTTGGCTTGAAACGATCAATGAAGGGGACCTCCACAACTATGACTGGTTAAAAGAAGTTTACAAAATAAGGAAGAAATGGCCCACAACATACAACAATAGTTGTTTTAATCTTGGTATTCTTTCAATACATCGTAGCGAATCCACTAACATGATGTGCCATAGAATTTCTAAGCCTACGAGTACCATAAATAACTCTTTTTTGGGGTTAGAAAAGGTGATGAAGACATGACGTTGGAATGAACATGATGAAGATTTAAAATTTAGCCAGTCTAATATTGTACATTTAGTTAAGAGTAGTCCAATTCTTAAGTAAGTTGCTTAATTTTATTCATATAAATTGTATTCATTCATTGAGGCGGAGTTCTTACAGAGTGTTAGTGGAATGTGCATAGCTCATGCCTCAAGCGACTCATCAATATTTTTCGTCAAAATTGTGGACGATTGATCAGCCTCACCATTGAACAGTTCATTTTAATGAAAAATAGGGTACCATTGAATGCAGTTATGAAAAATTCAACATGATGGGCTTATTATATTCTCACTTCTTGAGAGTAATAAGATAGTTTGATATATATAATATACCTCCAAAATATCTACTTAAGAGATGGTCAGCTCAAGCTAGAAAAAAAATTTTATTCTGGGATATCGATGACATGTATGGGTGTTAAAGGTACCCCATATCATGGCTTAGGAGGTATGATGTTTCGAAATTATTTTAGTAGATTCACATATCAAATTAGCATAAGAGAGTAAGGAAATGAGGAAGCATAATAGTACATATTGGCTGCAATGTCTGACATGGCTGAGAATGTTGATTTGATACTAGATGGCAAGAAGAACCATAAGTTTATTAGGAATATAAGCATGCCAAAAAATTAAAAGACCTAATAAAGCGCAAGCCCAAAGGCATTTCTAATGTAAGGTTGAAGAGTCATTGGGAGAAAAGAAAATCTAAGAGAAAGAAAACTGAGGAATAACGTACTCTGTCAATTGAACATGTACACCTGTGGAACCAATTAATCAAGTTATCTTTTCAAACATACCAGAATGCTTCACAGATGAGTTCACTCTTCGTCGACCAACCAGCCAGCCGAACCCTGAATATATACAGACGATGAATGGAATAATTGATGCAGAGAGGCTTTGGTAATATTGAAAATTTATTTAATGACATTTGAATTTGATAATTTGAATTTGTATGTTTGTTAAAATATTACTCTGGATGTTTGCATTGAATTTACTTTTATAATGTTTGATGTTTCATATATAATTTGCATATATTCTGCCATATATCAATTTCCTTAGGTATCATTCTATAATAATCGATAAAGCTCGCTATTGCTCAGTACCTCTTGGTACTGCTCAGTATCGCTCGGTACAGATCGATACATATCTATACCATTTGCTCAAATGAGCTTTCTCCGTTGCTCTGTACCGCTTGGTACCATTCAGTACCTTTCAATTTCGTTTCCAAAAGTAGTTGTTAGCAGCTATTTGATGTATTAACTTTGGGTTTTAATGACATTTAAAGTTGGTAGTTGCGGCGATTCACTTATTTAAGATGGGTTGTTGTACTATTTACTATGTTTGCTGAACTTATAAGTTATATAAGTTGAGCCAGTCCATCTATCACATCATATTTTTATTATGATTTATAAACTACGTTGGTCGGATGCTAAACTACATATATGCATGCCGATGAATGATTTTATCGAGCATGCCACAAGTAGAATGCATGAATGCATGACTGTAGTTGCTGACTGTCATCTTGAGCAACAAGCAAGGTTAAATGAAATATACAGATGTTGTGTTCATACATGGCATGATCGTTGTGATAGTTTGCTTGAAGTGGCATGGAGAGAAGCGATGGATGATAAGGCAAATAGATTTAGATGTTTCCTAAATGTTGAAGGGTGGCAATATGTATAGAGAAACATTTTTGAAAGTCATCATCACCTTGCTAGTCCTCATTTTCTATAACAGCATCATCATGAGCTAACATGTAAGGGCAAAGCCTCATGCTCTGATTATGTTGCTAGACAACCTTGTGATGTAGAAAATATAATTGTTTACTATCCTTGGGATCCAGGCGAAGAAAGTTTTTTAGTAGACTTATATAAGCAATTACTAAAGCAACATATGCATGGAAGTAAGCGAAAAAAGTTCTTGAATATAAGTGATTGGCAAGATTTACAATTTAAGCTGATGATAGAGTTTGGATGTTGTCCTATACAAACTCAACTCCAGCAACGTGTTCGTTAATTGCTTAAGAACTAAAACTTTGTTAATTTAGTCGTATTATTTACAATATTACAATGTATGCTCTATATTCAATAATCATTTAAGTGTTGAACATAAAAGTATGAATGAAAGTTTTGATCTATACTTTAGCATTTCAGCTTGCCAATATAATAATTCTTTTCACTTAATAAATTGTGGAAGGATTACAGTTTCCATATATTTATAAATAAATATCCCACAGTCATATGCATTTGTTTGTGTTGGAATTCCATTAGCAATCATGACTGGCCAAGACCTGATATCACTTTCAAAACTATATTCAGTTTTCTCATACAAATGATTTATCTGCAATAAAAGTCAACTTGCTTGTTATTATGTATGAATCGATTCAATTCTCTATAATGTATAACACTTCACTTACAACATTGGGAGCACGGCCCGATGCATCGGGTTAGGTAACGAATCAAAGAAAAGCCAAGTTGACTTCTTTAAATCAGCAATCAAAAGTATCCAATGGACCTTTTCAGATATTGGCAGCAGAATGAAATTTGAAGCACTCATAACATCCTTTGTT